AGAAATATTATAGGCAGTCAGACAGGGCCAGGCCCTCCAGGAGACAGCCTGGAAGACAAGACACCTTGCAACTGTGAGAGAGATAGATGCTCCTGCTGTGGGCCAGACCTAAAGACCAAAGATCGAACAAACGCTGACCTCCCTGAAGATAAGCATCCAGGATTGACCATCACCTTGAGGAAGCCAGGAAGAGTCACTAATCCAACTGCTACTGGCTGGCTACCAGATAAACTCGTGTTCTATATCCATGCCCACTTGCTACGTGACTCACTTCCCCATTTGGTCCTGGATCTAATCAACGTCACCTGAGCAGTGGTGCTTGTAATCTTATTGGTTGACCATAGTCTTGCCCCACCTCATGCCCACCTAAGCAAGTTCTCATGTTCTTCACCTTAGACCTGCAAGGTTTTACTCTATAAAAGTTCCTGGAAGAGGGCCCAGGGAGATAGCTCAGTAGAATAAGTACTTGGCTGGCAAGAGCAGGATCCTGAGTTCAATCTCTGGTACCACACAAAAAAGAAAAAAAAAAAAAAAGTTCCTGGAAGACACAGCTTCCAGGGGACAACCTGCTGGGTACCCCCTTCTGTCCCTCTCAGACAGAAGCTTTCTTTCCTCCAATAAATATTCTGCTCTTAACTTCCATTTGTTCCTAAAATTTATTCTTCGTTTTTAAAGAGCACGAACTTGTCCCAGCTACCTTTCAGGTTGGGAGTTTCATTTCCCCTATATCAGTGTGAGTATGCAGATGGCCAAAGGACAGCGTGGGAGGGGACAGGGGCTGAGTCTAGAGGAGTCCTGCATTCCAAATGGGGCTGTTGGAGAAGGCTGTCCCATGTGACCTTGGGCAATACCCCAAGGAGAGCAAGACAGGGGTGTACACTGTAACCCTAGCACTTAGGAGACTGAGGCAGGAAGGCCACACATTTAAGGCCAGCCTGGAGTACACAGTAGGACATTATCTCAAAACAACCCAAAGGAGAAGGGAGTGCAGTCAGGTGGATCTGGGAGCCGTATGGATATCTGAGAGCAGAGCCTGTGGGCAGAGGGCCAAGGCCCTGCAGGGGGACTGTGCCTTCTTCAAGGAGAGGCATACTGGTGTGGCCAGGGAAGGGAGCATATGTGGAGCCAGGTCTGAGAGATGGATGGACTCTGGGGCTGGGATGGGGGGTTTGTGTGGGGTATACCAGAAGACCCTGGCCTTCACACAGCCCTGGAAGTCATCAGAGGAGTCAAGCCACAAGCCACAGGGTGGCCTCAGCTGCCCTGAGTTCAAAGGCGCAGGGGCCACATGAGAAGAGGCTGGTAGGCAGAGATGGAGGGGACCAGGGAGGGCTCAGCCCAGGCAGCAGGGGGGTGTGAGCAGGGCAGAGACTCTGGGTGTCCGCTGAAGACAGAGCTGATGAGATCTGCCAGCAGATGGGATGAGGGCCGTCAGGGGCAATGTGGGGCTTTTGGCCTTTAGACCTGGAGACCTGCATTGCTCTTTTCTGAGGCTGAGAAGATTAGGAGATATACATGTTTCAGAGGGCAGCAGGCATCAGTGGTGTGCTTTGGCTGTGTCTATTTGGGATGCCTCTGGGACACTGGCTTTTGACATCCACATTTAGACATCAGGCCTGGGCCAGAGACGTCACTGAAGCAGCTGTGAGTGGAGGCTAATAGCTCTTTGCTCAGTGCCCCAAGCACTGGGCTGTGTCCTGCTGCAGCCTCTTTCCTAGCCTTCCTCTGCATCCCTACATGGGAGTCCCCACAGGACACCGATGTAGTGCACATGGCAGTGTCAGGAACACCCATACTTCTGGTCACTTTCTGTACTGGGCCAGATACTTCCGCCCTGAGGCCTGGAGATCCCCTAGCCTGGCAGTCATTAACCCAGTCCAGTGTGAAGGCCAAACATAGAGACAGCTTGTCTCCAAAAACAAAACAAAACAATATTTATTTATTCTTTTGGAGACAGGGTCTCTCTATGCAGTTCAGGCTCGCCTTAAGCTCACTTTGTAGTCCAGGCTGGTCTCAAACTCGCAGTGATCCTCCTGCCTCAGCCTCCTGAGTGGTAGGATTATAGGAGTGTGGCCCACACCCACACACTTATTATTAAAACAGCCTTATCCAGAATCAAACCTAACTAATCAGGTTGGCACTAGAGATAAAACCCATCTGGGCTCCTCAGGATTCGCTGGTAAGAAAGAGACCTGTTTGGACTGGACACACTTCCTGCCTCCGCCTCCAAGTGCTGGGATCACAGGATCCCAGCTACACCTCATGTACCGCTACACCTCATTTGTATTTGCATCAGCTGATTTCCGGACCTGATTTTTTCCTACCTGCTTTCCCCAGAAAGGATGGAAGAAGGTAGGGTCTTGAGTTTTGCACAAAACCACAAAAATTCAGTGTTTCCTAAATTATATGTTCCAAGGCCCTTGGCCTTAGCTGTATGTAGTAGTTAGCTTTGTGTCCCTGAGATTAACTACCTATGAGAGCTACTTAAGAAGAGGTTCAAGGGCTGGCCAAATAGCTCAGTGGATTAAATCACTTGCTTAGGTGGATGTAGGGGCCAGGAGTTCAATCCCCTGCCCTGCCCCTGGGGTGCGCTGAGACAGCAATTGAGACTGGGTGTGGTGCCTGTAATCCCAGGGTGTGGCGCCTGTAATCCCAGCACTTGGGAGGCTGTAAACAGGAAGATCACCTTGGATCTACACAATGAGACCTTGTACACCCTGTCCTAAAATAAAATAAAATAAGGAAGAAGAAGAGGTTCATTTACCTCACAGCTTTGAAAGTTTAAGGCCCAAGATTAAGTGGTGGCAGGGACAGGGGTGCTGACTTGGCCTCAGGCATGGGTGTGGGTGGTGGCAGGATATGGCAGAAGCACACAGAGGAGTGTATGGTCACGCCTCTAACAGAAGCCACGAGAAGGAGCCCCTTCCTGTCAACATTCCAGGACCTCCCACCTCCTGGCCCAAAGTGAGATGCCACTGTTGCCCAGTAGAACGACCGTGTAGACCAAGCCTTCCCTCCTGAGACAGCCTGTCCTGTCTTCCCAGGGAGACAAGCTGAACTCAAACCTTTCCAGCACAGAAGCTTTGTTAGTCCTCTCCTGTAGGCCAGGGACTAGGAGAGGGCCCAGGGGACAGAGACACCCTTGTGGAAATTAATTTCTGCTTTGTATCTCAGAAAGCACCAGTCTGTCAGGCTTCTAAACTGGGGTTCACCTATGGAAATCTGCCTGCTTAAGCAAAATCCCCTCTTCATACCTTCTAATGAGATTCCTGAGCCCTGCCCAGATCAGTTAAACCATAATTCCGTAATTTCTGAATCTGGGCAGGGGTGTGTGTGTGTGTGTGTGTGTGTGTGTGTGTGTGTGTTGAGACAGGATCTCCTTATGCAGTTCAGGCTGGCCTTGAACTCAGTGTAACCCAGGTTGGCCTTAAATTTGCAGTGATCCTCCTGCCTCTGCCTTCCCAGTGCTGGGGTCATAAGATGGGTGCCACCAGGCCAGATGGGCACTGGCACTGTTTGAAAGCATCGGAATCTCTATACTGAATAGATAGAACAAAATCCACATATTGCTGCTGCCCCGTCAGTGCCACTGCCCTGAGCATGGGCTTCTGAAACAACATCTGACCTCGGCACTCGCAGCGCACAGCCTCCGTGCTTCCTGCTGGCTACGGGCTGAGCTGGACTGCGTCGCCCGGCACCGAGATGCTCACTTTGCATCCAGCCTCCTCCCACGAACGACATGAGTGGGGAGGACTGACTGCTTCACACTATCCAGGCACTGCCTGCTTTGTGGGTGTGGTGTCACTCACTTCACACTGGCTGAGAGGACAGCATGCCTTGGCCATTTCCTCACCTGTGGAAGAAGGACAAGGCCAGCCGGGGCAGTGTCTGGTACACTTACTGTCTGCTAGCAGCAGCCATTACTGCATCCTCCCCATTTTATAGGTGTGAAAGTTGAAGTTCAAAGAGGTTAAGGAATGCACATGCTTAAGGCTGCAACTCATGAATAAGGGCCTGGTACCCAAGTCTGGCTTTAGTACCCAGACTCACTGACCCTCACTCATTGCTGAGGGCTGGACGCCCATCTCACTGCCTGTGTTCAGGGCAACAGAGTCTGTGTTACCTCCATCTCTGCCAGGCCTGGGAGTATTTGCTGGATCTTCTGGGAGCTGAACCCAAGACCAGCCTGGGACTGGCTCGAGCCTCCTCAGATCATCCTGATAGGACATCCAGTTGGGGCCCTGGATCCTGCTTCTGAGTCAACAGAATGGTGACTTGTGACACTCACAGCACCAGCCCAGAAGATATCACATCTCTTCAGTTTATTTATTCCAATAAAGATTTACTGCACAGGGATGATGGGCCTGGCACCACACTTGGTGCTGGGTACAGAGCGGAAGGTGGGTCAGGTGTGCTCCTGGGCCTCATGGTGCTTGCCATCTAGTGGGTGGGGGCAGTTGACCAGGAGCAAGCACATGAGTGGTTGGCAAGCACAGTGGCAAGCTCCTGGAGAACTGAGGACTGGAGGAAACAGTGGGGACCTGGGAGATCTAGTTACTTTGCAAGTGTAGTGGTCAGGGAAGGGCCCTGGGGACAAACACTGAGCCGAGGCCTCAGGGTTCAGAGACCTGAGCCACAGACAGAGCTGGGAGGAGCATTCTTCCAGTGAACAGCAGATTGAGGAGCAAGATTGGAAGGCTGAGGAAGTGAAGGCACGCTGTGGGAGCAGGAGGGGTGGTGCAAGTTTGGGCCTGGAAGGAAATGAGGCTTGAAGTAGGGTTGGGAACAAAAGCAGAAGAGTAACAGAGGAAGGGTTCTAAGTAAGGGTGGCTATGGTGTGATCCGCGTGCTTCAGGTTCTCTGTGGTTTTTAGGAACCAGCAGACAAAGCAAGAGGCAAAGCTAGGAGAGCTTGCAGAGGCTGGGACAGTGGTCTGGGGGAACAGAGATGCAGTCAGGGCAGCACGGTGGCTGTGGACTTCCAAGACGATGGACTGCTGAGATTTTTACGTAGGATCTACTGGAAGGTTCTAGAAGAACTGAATCTTTATTGTTGGCAACCTGTGATGGGATGGGGAAAATCAGGGTACCAGGAAGGTTTGAGAACAGAAACAGAAACGAAGCCCCCATCCATGGGGTTGAACACACAGTCACATTTCTGACAGTTCTCAGGAGAATAAACCTGAGACCAACCAAATGCTGACAGTGCTGTGCCATTTCCAACTCTTGTCAGTGCTGTCAGCAGACAGCTTCAGAGCAGGGTACCCACAGCATGGGAATACATTTCCCACAGCCTTACTGGGCTCTCAGGCTAGGAGGTCACCAAACTGCAGGACCGCAGGGCACTCTGGGATCCTGGGAGTAGCTGGAGAGCAAGGGGCAGGGGAGGGACACGGACTGTCCTCTTCCTGTCCTGAGTGTGCGCCTTCATGAGAAAAGGGAGACTGGTCTTTGCCTTCTGTCATTTCTTCTCCCAACTCCTAGAATCCTGCATGGCTGTGCTGCCCCCTTTGCCTCCCACTCAGGACAGCCTCTGCTCTAATCCACTCTCTGCAGCGAGGCCTTTTTGCCTTGTGGCTGCCCATCTCAGATGGATCCACAGGACAGCAAGCTGATCCAACTGGCTCTTCTTGCTAAGAAATGAAAGGTGTACTTACCTTTTAATCCTTTCCCAAGCACCTTGCCTTTTAAAGAACTTTCTGGATCACTCAAATCACTTCTACCCTCTGCCCCACTTCTTCGGAAGGACACTGTGGCCCGAGGTTTTGGCAAACTCTTACTTTTGTGCCCCTGGTGCCTCCTGGTAGCCTCTGAGGGTGGCTCCCACCCAAGGCTGTGGATCCCAGAGCCTTGGGTCAGAGACATGGAAAATATTTCCTAACCAGTGTGACATGAGCACTAGTGAGCCGTCAGCTGGGGAACCCCGAAGCCTCGGGCTTAGTGTGCATAGCCAGATGGAGGTGGTCCTGGGGGAAACACCCCGTGCCAGGGTGCTCAGAGGCACTGGGCAAGAGGCAGGGGCAGGTCTTCTGATGAGCACAGAAATGTTTCTGCACTTTTTCAACTAATGTGGCAACCCTGAACGTCGTCATTCCAGTCACTGCTGTTTCACTGGGAAGGGACACCAGGCCCTTTGTTCTTCCAGTAGAGGAGAATGGCCTAAGGCAGAGCTGTGGAATGAAACGGCTTCTGAGCAGAGCCAGTGTGCAGCCTCTGGGTCCCGGATCCCAGGCCTTGACCCTCTGTGTGACCTTGAAGGCCCCAGCCGCCTCTGATTGTTCTTCCTCCTGCCCCTCCTCACAGTTATTTTTGTCCAGCATGACAGCCCTTGGCTGTGGCAGCAGTCTAGGCTCTGCAAGCCGATGCAAACCAGGCAGCTCAGGCGTCTGGTGCTGAATCCCAAGAGGATGGTCTCACTGCGCACCCCATGGGGCAGGACCACCCTCAGGGAAGATGGTGACTGCCTGAGGCAGGGAGCCCGGCGCTTGCTTGTTCCTGGCTCCAGCCTGACAGTGCTGTTATGGCCTGGCAGTCATGAAGGCGTCCTGTCACAGAGCCCTGTGCTTGCTTGCTCAGAAACCTTCTGGCCTCCCTGGTGAAGCCAGGTACGGGCAGGGGCCTGCTGGTCTACAGGAGGGTGGGTGTCCTCACCAGCAGGACAGCTGCTCAAGCGGGGGCCCCCAGCCTCCACGCTTGGCTGCAGCGGAGAATGGGCCTGTCCTGTGCCTCACCATGATGGAGTGGCAGGGTGCTCGAGAAAACTGTGGGTGGCTCTTGCTCAGCTGTCTCCAGGATAGCAGGCAGCTTGCCTCCAGCCACAGCATCCTTCTACTCTACAGCTTCCACCTCAGACCCAAGATCCAAGTGTTCTGGGTGGGACAGGGGTCTGGGCAGGGTCCTTAGGGGCTCACAAGGCACTGTGACTCACTGCACTGGTGAGAAATGAGACCAGATCTTTGGGATCAGAACAATTCTAGGGGAGAGGGCCAGGAAGACAGACTGTGTCAGCAGAGAGGAGGAAGGGACCTCTGATGGGTAGACCTCTGTAGAGCAAAAGCAGAAAAGGCAGTGGCAAATTTTAGAGCTTCCTTGCCCCTGGGGGTAGGGTGGGGAGCTCAGAGAGCACCAATTTCAGTGATTTCAGGGGCCCAGGAGCGGCAGAGCACAGCCGCTGGAGGCCTCCCAGCTGGTGCTGCAGAAGGCCTAGAGACTGGGACAGCCACAGTAGCTGGGCTCCTCACAGCACCAGAGGCTGTGGAGGAGGAAGACCGCAATGGTGGAAGGAGGTGGCTGCTCCTGGCAGCCCTGCTGCTGGGGGCCACATGGAGAGGGGCAGCTGGCCTTTCCATGGGGCGGGCCCTATGGGTGGAAGATGCGCCCCGACTGGGTAGCACACTCCTCCGTGTGGGCGTGATGGAGCCAGAGGCTCTGCGCAGGGGTGCGGTTCGGAGGGCTGGGATGGGGTAAGCGAGAGGGGAGGCACTAGGGACTACAGGGCTGGCAACTCTTCCCAGAATGGTGAGCTGGCTGCTCAGGGCTGGCAGCCCTGGGCAGCTATGGAAGAAGGACCAGGGCCATGAAGGCAAAGCCAGGGGGCTGGTGGGTATGGGCGAAGGCTCCATCTCAGCTGCGTAGCTGTTGAGGTGGGAGAGAAGGCGAATCCGGACAGGATCTGCACGGCTGCTGGGCCCTTCCAGGACCCCCAGGTACCTGATGACCTCTGTGAGGCATTCCCGGAAACCAATGCTCCGGAAGTCAATTGCGAGGGATCGGGCATCCAAGAATCCTGCAAAGTAAGGCACCATGAGGGCACGCTAAGCTGGGAGAAGCAAAGGGTCTGGGCCAGATGTAATCTGTGTTCTGGACCTTCCACTCCCTCCCTTAGTGACTCTGGCAGTGTCCCTGCCCTCTCTGAGGCCCAGTCTTCCCAGGTGTAAAATGGGAATAAAAATTCCTAACTGGGATGGACAGAGGACAATGAATTGTGAGGATCAAATGAATTCACTAAACTATGAACTTGGAACCATAAAAAATATATGGCCCTCATCCCCCCTTTGGAAGCAGGGGAAAATGTGGTACAATAGGAGGCAATGTATTAACAGAAGCAGCAGTGCCCTCTTTACTTACTGAGCACTTTCCGTGCACTACCTCACTTGCCCCTCACAGCTCTGTGCAGCATGTGTTATCTTCTCCTTACTTCATAGCTAAGTAAGCTGAGGTATAGAGCGATGTGGAGGCTTGTCTGCAGCCTGACCTCAAGTTAAGTGGCAGGGCCAGGATTTGAACCCACCTTCCCAGGACCTCATGCTTCACTGCTATGCAGCCCTACTGACTCCAAGAGACTTCCAAGCTCTTGTGGCTACTGTTACCACCTCCCTTCCCCGAGGCTGAGCCAATCGGCAGGTGGGGTTTCTACTCCTGCACACACATAGCCTGTCTGCCCCTGGTTCCAAAGCCAGCCTGGTAAGCAAGACTGCTCACTGGTCCTTAGCTGCTGCTATCAGGCCAGCACTGTCTTTGGCCTGCTGTTGTGAGGGAACAGATGGCCATCACATAGGCACTGACAGACACTGCCTCTGCATACCTGCTCCTCTCTGGACTGCATCTGGGCAAACAGGCCCAGGCAGCATGGCCTCAGGACTATGGCAGCAAAAACTGGTCCCAGGTTCAAAGCTGAGGTCCCCCAAAAGGACAGCTGTATTTGGAGTCAGGCCAACTTCGAGAGCAGACCTGACCTTGCTGTGTACTTAGCTGTGCTACTTGCATAAATCTCTTTGCTTTTCAGTGTTTGCTACTTACTTATTTTTTGTAGTGCAGACTTCACCTGGGACATATGCGCAGAGCTATATCCTCATCGCTACCCCTCCTTTTGAGACAGGGTCTTGCTGTGTCACTCACGGTGCCCATGAACTCACTGTGGAGCTCACTGTGGAGCTCACAAGAATTCTCCTGTGTCAGCCTCCCAAGGACTTGGATTACAAGCCTGTGCTGTCACATCCAGCTTTTGTTTCTTATTTAGAAACAGGGTCTGGTTAAATTGGTAAATTGTCCAGGATGGTCTCAAACCTTTTATCCTCCTGCTGCAGTCTACCAGGGTGCTGCTGAGTTTTTACTAAGGACTTCATTGTATTATCTAATTCAATTCTCAAAAAAAAAAAAAAATTCCTTTATCATTCCCATTTTATTTATTTATTTATTTTTTGGCTTGTTGAAACAAGGTCTCACTATGTAGTTCAGGCTGGCCTTGAACTTGTAGTGATCCTCCTGCCTCAGCCTCCTGAATGCCAGGGTTTCAGGTATTTGCACCTGAATCAGATAGTCCCATTTTAGAGATGATAAAACTGAGAAATATAGGTTAAATCATTTGTTTAAGGTCACAAACTAGTACAGCCAGGATTCAAACCTATACTTTGCACTCCTCTTAACCATGGTTTTTTTTATCTTCCCATTAGTCCCAAGTAGACAGTAATGATAAGAGCAACCTCAGTTCCAGGTTCTTGTGGGACTCAAAGGACGGAAGCATTTCAAAAGCTATAAAATGCTGCCCATACATTAATCACTGCTTTTAATAGGGCAACCATAAATTTCATTTGCAATATGTGCCCCTCTAGATGCTTAGACCCAGAACTCTCCTTAGCTAGCAATGTGCTCCTTTGGCAGGTTTCATTAGAGTGAGCTACATTAAAATTATCAGATAGGTTTGTCAAACTGCAGATGCCTAAACTCCAAGCCAGACCCACTGCCTCAGAACCTTGGGTGGGAGGGGTTGGTGGCCACAACTCTGCCTGCCCCCAGCGATACAGCTATATGCTAAGGCTTGAGAAATACCAGGTTGGGCCTCTCAAACTGCAAATGTCCTTTTCCATGGTAGAAAACTGTTTTGGAGATTATAAGGGTGATCAAAAATACAGTGAAATCTGCGTATGGTGGCACATGCCTGTAAGCCCAAACTTGGGAGGCTGAAGCAGGAGGATCGTTGTGAGTCTGATACCAGCCTGGGCTACAAAGTGAGTTCAAGGCCAACCTGAACTACATAGTGAGACCCTGTCTCAAAAAGACTCCCACTTCAAAAAAGAAGACCAGTGAGGTTTCTGAGTATGGTGGCACATGCTTATAATCCTAGAGGCAGGAGATCAAGATCACTGTGAGTTTGAGGCTGGCCTGCACTATATAGCAAGACCCTATCTCAAAACAAAAACCTATGAAGTTGAATTTTTGTTTGTTTGCTTTTTGAGGGAGGGCCTTGCCTATGTAGTTCAGGCTGACCTTGAACCCACAGTGATCCTCCTGCCTCAGTCTCATGAGTGCTGAGATTCCAGGCGTGTGCCAACACACCCAATTTGAAATAGAAATTTTAAAAGTTTATTATAATGAAGGACACAAGGCCATTAATCTCTCTCAAAATACTCCCCCTTACTTCAAACACATTCATCCCATTATTCTTGACACTTTCTGAGCTAGTTATGGAAGATTTTGGTGTTTTCATAAGGTATGAGTAAAAAAAATATATAATGATTGTGGCTGTCTTGTGCCATCTAATGGAAAGGCAGGCCCACAGAAATGGGATGCTGCATCTTTATCCATCTACCTTGCTAACAAGATCTGGCACCGTGTGACGTTGGGGTTTCCAGCAAGGTCAAAATGAGCATGAAAGACGAGTGGTTTGTATCATTTCAGAACACTCAGACAAACAGGACAACACAACTCAAAATACCAAAAAAGACTTCTAGAACTGTTTTGGAAAGTGTCAAGTGCTGGTGCACAACTGTGATCCCAGCACGTTGGAGGCTGAGGCAGGAAGATTGCAGCAAGTTTGAGGCCAGCCTAGGCTAGGTAGGGAGTTCAAGGCCAGTCTAAACTATACAGAGACCCTGTCACTGACCCTGAAAAAGTCGCAGCAGTACATCTCTATGGCCATGAGCTGTGAAACTTTCAAGATGCCCCAACTATAAAATCATCAAACACATGGAGAAGCTTTAAGACAGATTTTTGCATTTGTCTGGAAGTCTTTTTAAGCTCATAATTCTATGGTTTTATTGCAAATTTTTATTTATTATTGTTATTATCATAATTATTATTATTATTTTGAGACAGGGTCTTACTCTGTGGTGTAGGCTAGCCTTGAGCTTGTTTATGTACCCTAGGCTTTCCTCAAACTCAAGTTGCTTCTTCTGCCTCAGCCTCCCAGATGCTAGGATTATAGGCATGTGCTACCACACCTGGCCACAATTTTATGATTTTAATGAATAGACTAGTTTAAAATAATGGAATGAGGCCTGGTGTGGTGGTGCATACCTGCAATCCCAGCAACTAGGAGGGTGAGGCAGGAGTGATCAGTTGGCAAGGCAACTATGAGTTCGGGGCCAGCCTGGGCTACAGAGTGAACTCAAGGCCACCTGGACTATGCAGCGAGACTCTTGTCTCAAAAAAAAAGGATGGATGACATGTGACATTGCTTTCTAGTACAGTCCTGACACCTGCCTTGAGCATGACATATCCTCTAGCTCTGCCCTGGACACAGTAGTACAGATGTCTAGGCCAATGGGTAGAAACGCCAAAGAAATATCAGTGGCTGAAAATGCTGGGCAGGTCCCACCTTGGGTCCACACAGGATATGGGCTGGGACTCCAGTGAGAATGAGCTCAGTCAGGCTATTTCTTATGAGGCCCTGGGTAGCACATGGAGCAGTCTGTCCCATAGAAGTCAGTCTGCGACTGGGAGGAGTTGAGTGGAGGGAGGATTAGGGCCAGGGTCACACTCAAAGTGGAGCCTGCAAGCAGAGAGAGCTTGACAAACATTCACCTAGACCCACTTCCAGCCCCTGGAGACTGTGAGCTCCTGCAGGGCAGGGACCACGTGGGCCTTGTTCACTCCTAGATCCCCGGGCCCCGCCTTGAGATGTTTATTGTATAAGTGACTCCCAAGCGAGAGCAGCACTCGTACCTGACCCACCGGTGGCGTGGAGCATTTTCAAGTGATCCACAGTCATCTGCAGGACCTCGGCTTTCTCCAGCTTGGACGAGCCCTGTGGGTACAGAGGCGGAGTGTACAGCCTCTAGCTCCTCCCACCACCTGACCTGGATTCTCACCTGCCTCCCGCTTGCTCAACAGCTCCAGACCTGAAGCTGCTCTCTGCTTCTCATCTCGGTCCACCTGTCCACTGCACATCTGAGCTTCCTCTCAAAACTTTTCTGTGTTTTCCTTTAGGTTTGCCTCTTCCTCCTCCTTTAAAACAGTGCAGCCCAGCGAGTGTTGGCCCCTTTCCTTGCTCTGTGTGCTCTCCCTGGAGGGTCTTGTCTACACCTGTGGCTTCAGCCCCCAACACCCAGTTGCTTCCTGGACCAGCTCCCTTGGGACTCCAACTCCAGCCTCAGCCTGCCCAGGACCCAGCTCCACATCTCAGCCCCAAGCACATGCTTTTTCTTTGTCTTTCTCAAGTAATACTTTCCATGCAAGTCCCTGAGGGTGAACAACAGGCCTTGTCCATGGCTGACAGTGAAAGGATTTCAGTAAACATCTGTGGAATGATTGACTTGTTCTCCCCAGTCTAAGGGAAGACAGACAACCAGGACCCTGGAAGCCCAGGGTCAGAATCCTTGAAGTTGTCTGCTTCAACCATTTGACTCTTCAGTGCAGTCTCCCCACCCTCACATATTTAATGACAGAGTGCCCACTCCCTGAGCAGCCTGTTCCACTTTTAAGTAGTTCAGGAAACACCAGGAGACATGCCACACAGTCCCGGGCACTAATAGTGTTCTGCTAGTTACTAGTAATGGTCTAGTAGTTTATAGTACTTCTGTCTCTGTGTTTCATTTTCCTTTTCTGCAATGGCAGAGTCTCTATATTATAGGTCTATATTTAGGATTCAACTCAGATGGATACAAGTCAAGCCTGAGACACCTAGGTATGAATTTCCATTCCCCTTGTCCCCTGGCCAGCAACATAAATGTTCATAAACGTTCAAGGTACCTCAGCAGCCACTGCCCACCAATAAGAGAAACTATGAGAAACAAGCCATATCTGTCACCCACTCAGACCTGCCTCTGGCACAGCTGGCAATACCTGCTTCTCAAAGGCAGTGGGCACCAAGTGCCGCAATTCAGAAAGGCTGCTGTTGATGCGGTCTCGGCGCCGTTTCTCTATGATCTGAAAAACAATGACAAAAAGTTATACAAAGGCACTTCGTCAGCTTCCAGTGTGCCCTCCTAACACTGACTTGCATTTTCTCATACTACATTTTTTTATGAGGGACAAAAATCTGTTCATACTGTAGGGAAAAAGAAACTGAGGCTCAGAGAGGGACAAGAAATGTGCTAAAGGTCACACAGCAACAAAGTACAGAGCCAGAAGCGCTCAGATCTCTGAGGGTAGACAACAGACCTCGTCCATGGCTGACAGTGAAAGGATTTCAGTAAACATCTGTGGAATGATTGACTTGTCTTGGTCTTTAGGGAGTAGGGATGCTATTCAAAATGCTCAGCCACTGGTACAGCTGGGCACATCCAATCAGACCACAACCATAGTGCCAGCATGTGCCCGGGAGACCCCACTGGGCCAGGGTTACCCTTCAGCTGTGGGTCTGAGAGCCCTAGCCTCTCCGGATGCAGAGGCCTCATTAACACCACCACCTCCCCTCCCACTGTTGGTAGCAGAATGCTGCTTCAGGGCGACTGCTAGCTGCTGGGTCTCTGGATTCAGTGTGTGAGGGGGAAAGGTGAGGCTGGATAAAATGTACAGTAGCACTCAGCTGGGTGTGGTAGCACAGGCTGTAGTGCCAGAACTCTGGGAGGCTGAGGTGGAAGGATCAAAAGTTTGAACTCAGTTTGAGCAGTTGTTTTTTTTCCCCCCAGAACAGGGGATTGAACTCAGGCCCTTGCTCTTGCCAGTCCAGCACTTATTCTACGGAGCCATCTCTCTGGCCCCAGTTTGACCAGTTTAATGACTTAATGAGACTGTCTCAAAATAAAAAAAAAAAAAAAAAAAAAAAAAAGTAAAGCGCTAGAGGTGGGGCAGGAGAGATAGCTCAGTAGAATAAGTGCCTGACTGGCAAGAGCAAGGTCCTGAGTTCAATCCCTGGTACACCACCCCACTCCCTCCAAAAAAAAAAAAAAGTGCTAGAGGTGTAGCTCAGTGTGAAGGTTCTGGGTTCAATCCCTAGCACAGTTCAAAAAGCAAAGCAAGGGCCAGCCTGATAGCTCAGTGGACTAAAGCACCTGCTTAGGCAGAGTGCAGCAGCTGGGGTTTGATCCCCAGTCTGCCATGCAGGCCGCCCCCACGGGGCAAGCTGAGACAATGATTGAGACTGGGCGTGGTGGCGTGGGCCTGTAATCCCAGCACTTGGGAGGCTGAAAACAGGAGAATCACTACGAGTCTGATCTATGTAGTGAGACCCTGTAGACACTGTAGACCCTGTACCAAATACAGAAGGAAAAAAAAAAAAAAAAGCAAAGCAAAAGATGGAGAGAAGCAATGAGCCTCATTCATCTGCCTCCTCTTCCTTAGACCAAAAGAAAGTTCTGGATTGAGAGAGAAGACAAAAGGGGGAGGACAGCAACAAAATAAGGCTATTGTGTGTTGGGTTTTGCCCAGAGAGCATTGTTTCAGCTTTGGATGGGTTCGATTATTACTCTACTTACACCAAAGAGAATCAAGCCTCAGACTGGTTACCCCGTCATCCAGCCATTGGTAGAGTCAGGATTCGAACCCAGGAAGGAAGGTAGCCTGGGGTGACACTTCTGATCAGGTTTGAGTCAGGTCCCAGGGAACTCAGGGCAGACCTGACTTGGACTTTTCAAATACTCACCCCTCTGCGTTTCTTCCTGGCTTGCATCTGCGAAGGGCTGGGAATGGACAGCGGCCTGGCCATCTGGCTGGAGAGGAAGGGAAAGGCTGGTTTCTCAGAGCTGGTACTACCTCCCTGGTTTAGGATAACCTGGGAGGCTGGGCTGTGGGAGGCATAGTTCAGCAGCCCACAAGCTGGAGGGCCACGGCGGGTGTGGGAGGGGCACCTGCTCCCACCTTCTCCCTGGTCCCCTTTTTTCGCGGGCCACTCCCTCCCATCACAGCCTCTCGGCGCCCCCAGTTTGCGCCCGGACCTGACCTCCTGCTCGCCTCACCCCTGCCCCGCGCGGCTGTAGCTACAGTCGGGCGACCGCTAAACGCTGTGCGCGGCCCTGGGCTCCTGCAACCCGATCCGGGGGGCGGGCGGTGGAGGGCAAGGGCCGGGCCGGCCTGGCGGCTTGGGTTTCATAGGGAGCCGCCGGGAAGGAGCGTGGAAAGAGCAGATGCTGCCTCTTCCCACGGGCCGACGCGCCGCCCTCTCCCTCTCCCTCGGCCCCGCCGGCCTGCAGCTGCCGTCTCCTCCCACGCGGCGCTGCGGGGGCGCGCGGGCGGCATCTGGGTCACAGGCCCCTCTCACACGCTCTGAGACCTGCTCTGGCCTCCCAGAAGGCCAGGCTGGTAACCCTGGCCGCCCCTCTGCATGTTAGCTCCCACCCAGGCGCGCCACTACGGAGAAGAGGCTCAGCCTGGGGTTTCCTGCCCAGATTTTGACCAAAATAATCGGTAGCTCGACTGCTGGTCCCTTCAAGGGGTGTTTGTTCCAGAGGCTTCCTCAGAACGGAGAGGTTCGCCAGGTAGCCGTAAGGTGCTCTTCTGGAGCCCAACTCTTGGGAAACCCCGTTTAGCCCAAGGGCCAGGCTCTCTGGATGCTCAGCTCCAACCACTGGACAAGATGCCAAGGGGCACGCATCTAAACAGGAACTCATGACCTTGCCTTTAACCCAGCTCCTGGATGCCCTGGATTCCCTACCTTAGGGAAGGGACCCCAACATCCAGGGAAGCAAGGCAGAACCCTGGCATTGTCTTTGATTCTTCCTGTTCTCACCTTCACCACATCAAAAACTGGCCATGTCTATATTACTTTTCTTGTCTGCCCTCTTAATATCGCTAACCCCTTTCATGGCCATACTTCTGTTATCTCTCACCTAACACACTGCAACAGCCCGCTATTAGGTCCCTCTGCAGGCATGGTCATTTAAATGCAAATCAAACCTTGTCAATCTTTTTTTTTTTTTAATTAATTAATTAATTAATTTAGTGTGTGTGTGGCCAGCTCAGCCCACCAGGGGGCGGGGCTGGCTGGCATGTGGTGCTGGGGGATTGAACCGCGGTCCCTGTGCTTTGCTTGGCTTAGCTTGTTCTAAGTAGGTGCTTTAGACCACTGAGCCATCTCACCAGCCCCAAACCTTGTCATTCTTAAAACTTCTCAGTGGCTTCGCAGTATGTTTAGGTCACCATCCTTCAATGATGCCAAAGACATCTCAGATCCACCGCATACACCAACCTGTAAGTGTATCACTTTCCTGTAGCTCTTCATACTGCTCCCTCCCAACGCCCCAGATCTCAACTGTAAGGTCCCTTCCTTTGGGAGCTGACATCTACCATCCTACTAGATGTTCCATGCTCAAGACTCTCCTAGCCTTCTGTATTCACTACATTTATGTGTTTGTTATTTTGTATTCATATGATTATTTGATTAGTGCCTATTTCTCCAAGAAATCCATAGAAATCATGAGGCCATGAACCATGTCCATTTCATTCACTACTGTAGCCCCAGTCCCCAGCAAGTGCATGGGGCATGGCAGAGCCATGGTAGGTTGCTGCCACTCTTGCCTTTGGCCATCACTGAAGAAGACAGGTGTAAACCCTAAAAAAATCTACGTTCTAGACTTTTGTGGATTGGGGCATATGTGGCTCACCAGGAGGTCTCATAGGGAGCTTATATGTGTGTCTTCTTTGCATTTGAGGTTAGATCCTTTTCACTAGCATCTCAAGGAGAGAAGGTTGTAGGAGAGACCAGATTGCATTTGTTAGTTCCTTCTCCTGTGCTCTGGGTTTGTATGGCCATATCTAGAAAAGGCTATCTTCAACCCAAACATCTGGACAAGCAGAGCTGGTAAAAAACCTGAGAAAGTTCCTGGGAGGCAAGGCCCAGTGAGCTACATCCCAGAGCTCCGACAGTCAGATCTTGAGATCTGTAGGGCAGCTTGTTTACAAAGCTCCCCTGGTTCACTGGGGACAAGCCCCAAGAGCCAAGGCACACGAAGAAACATGGCCTTTGTTTCCTGTTGCTGGATAAAGCTCCTCTCCGGGTGTTGGGTTATCCGTGTGGACGTCACTGCTCTCAGCCTGATCCCTCCCTGGGGACTATTTGTCAGAGGAGAGGCTGACGTGTCCATTTCAGAGCAAAGCACTCTGCTCTCCCTTCTTCAGACTCCTGGGCAGTTTTTCTCTGCAGTAGCATCTCCTTCTGCCTTACATCTCATGGGCAACTCCATACTTTTCTTGGTACCATTATGGGTTTTTCTCACCTTTGAGACTTAAAAGGTCCCATTTCACATACAAGGGTGCTGAGGCATAGGGAGCTAATGCAGTTTGCCTGGCCCATGCAGTTGCTAAGGAGCAAAGCCAGCATGGGAGTCTATGTCTTCTGGCTCCCAGTTCAGCATTGTTTGCCCTCCTAAGTCCTACTTTCAGCCTATCTGAATAGTCTTCCAGTCCCCTTCTCCTCAAAGCTCCTAGCCCGAGCTCACTCAAGCCTGTGATCTGGCCCTGACCTTGGGAGGAGGGGTGGGGTCCTGACAGTCTGAAAGTAAGGCAGATTTTCTTGGACCTGAAAGGATCTAGTGACCACCAAGTCCTATTCCATTGGCCTCTGTCAGGCCCCCAGACAGAATTCCAGAGCAGTCTGTGAGGGTGGCATGGCTTTCTAGATGGTCTGGCAGCCAACCCTGAATATCTACAATGCTGACTCCACCTGGAAACTCCCTCATGGATAACTTGGTCAGTGAGTGACCCCACTCATTTGGCATCAACCAAAGGTAGGATCTAAATGTTCTAACTGAACAAATCTCAAAGGGCACAGAGCCCACGTGTGAAATGAGAACATGCAGAGAGGGGAAGGGACTTGCCCCAGGCCAAATGACAGAAGCCCACAGAAGTAGAGCCAGAGCTACTGCCTTTTCACCCAGTGATCCTGCTGGCGTACTCCAAATATTTATTATCTCATCATGTGTATCCCATAGGTGGTACTTCATGTTTCAGACAACACTTCTATATCTATTTGTCTCATTCACTCCATATGGGCCTGAAAGGAATTACTTGGACCATTTCGTTTTCAGGAAAAATGATCATTATATAGGTAGGGTAACAAATAAGAGTTAAGAATGTACCCAGTTGGCCAGATGTGGTGGCACAAGCCTGTAATCCCAGCACTTAGGAAGCTGAGGCAGGAGGATCACCATGAGTTTAAGGCCAGCCTGAACTACACAGCAAGACCCTGTCTAAAACAAACAAACAAACAAACAAACAAACAAACAAACATCCAGTTAGTCCAGTCTTCAGGACTCCAGTTTTTTCATTACAGCCTGCTCTCTCAAAGCACCGGGTATGTGCCCCTTTCCCCACCACACATACTCATGACTCCTTAGAAAGCAGCATGTATTGGAAATTACCTCCAGCCACATACTTTATGGACATATAACATCAAAGACTCACCCTGGGAGGTGGGTGTTTACACCCCCATTTTGTAGGGAAAGAAACTGAGGCTCAAGGGCCAGCCAAATAGCTCAGTGGATTAAAGTGCCTGCAAGTAGGCACAGAGGCTAGGAGTTCCATCCCTGAGCCTGTCATGCTGGCCCTGCCCCCAGGGCAAGCTGAGATGGCAATTGAGACTGGGCGTGGTGGCGCGCACCTGTAGCTCTTGGGAGGCTGAAAACAGCAGGATCACTGAGTCTGATCTAATAGCGAGACCCTGAATACCCTGTAGACCCTTCCCTAAAAAAATACAAAAAAAAAAAAAAAAAAGGGTTCAGAGTCTCAGAAAGAGGTATAAAATTGCTTGCACAAATAAACAGTAGAGAGAGCCCAGCACATCTGTCTGACATGGAGAGCAACCACGTACATTAAATCATCTTGGAAACACTCAGACACCGACCCAGAGTTTTGCATGTGACAGGTGCTCAACAGAGTCAGGCTCTGTAGATGGGTAAAGGAGAGGCTGTACTGTGTTTGGACCCAAGTGTATGGTGTAGGGGAGACCAAGTTCAGACAGGAGCTCTCTATTCATGATTCTCAGGGATGAGGCATGATGCTAGAGCCATGCAGACATCCCTAGTGACAAAGGAACACAGCCTGCTCTTGCTCTCATGTTTCCCAGTATGGGCATTTGCGCACTGCCTCTGCCCCCACAGTGGCTGGTTGCCCCCACCCTATGGCCCTTGTCACTGTTTATGTGGCTTTCTTTGTACACAAAGCTCTTTTTTCTCTGGGAGCTCCCTGAGGGCAGAGGCTGAGCAGGATACATCTGGGTGCTGATGGCAGCTCGGGGTCTGGGCCACAGCAGGCATCGCTCAGCAGTCCCTGAATTGAAGCATTTATGTCTGGGGGTGGGGAGGGCCCTTTGGGGAGAGCTACAAAGAGGCATCTATGAGGCAGCCTCTGCCAGATGTCCAGCTGCTTGCTCCCTTCTGAGGGGTCTGTTCTTTTAAGAACAGTCTCTAAAAATGCAGTGTCTTAAAACAGCAAAATGCTGTAGAGGGAAAAGCTGTGCACTGACCCCTGATGTCTTATTCATAGGGGTGACACCTTCAGCAAACTCTCACTACCACATTGGCTGTGCCGGGCCTCCTCTCACTCAGGCGCCCTTGCAGCCCCATCAGGCTCTCTCTCCATTCTACCAGTCTCTGTGTGACTTGAGAGTCACTGCCAAGGCTGCAAACTGGCAGATGACAGACTTCAGCTCTGGTCAATTTAGTCATCTGGCATTGATTTTGTGTCTTTGGTCTACGAGGGCAGATGATGCTGAACTTGAGACCTCCTTCACACCACCACGTGGTTCTGGCACCTTCCGTGCTAGTGGGCCCAGGCTCAGAGACTTCTTTCCTCAAAGGCAGTTTTTGCTAAACAATTTTGAAAAAAAAGCCTAACTCCTGGGCTGGGGAGATATCTCAGTGGCATCAGAGTCTGCCTCACAAGTGCAAGATTATGACTTCAATCCCCGGTACCACAAAAATAAATAAATAAAAAAAATAAATAAATAGGCCTAACTCCTGTCAGGTGTGGTGGTGCACTATGGTAAACCCAGCACTCAGGAGGCTGAGGCAAGAGAATTGCTCTGAGTCTGAGGCCAGCCTGGGCTATACAGCTGAGTTCAAGGCCAGCCTCCTAAACTATGTGGCACATGGTGAGACCCTGCCTGAAAAAAAAAAAAAAAGGTTGATCTAGTGATAGGATATTATATTATACACCTCTAAATCTAATGTACAAGATGTATTAGGAATACCTATTGTCCTATTCTCTATGACGAGCTACAAATAATTGTTAGTTGTTGACAACTTTCTTGGAATTTATTTATTTATTGTGCTGGTGATCAAAACCAGGGCCCTGTGCAAGTCCCACACATGCTCAGTGGCAAGCACTCTACCACTGAGCTATATCCCCAGAGAGGATCTGTGATTGGGCCAGGAGCTCCTGATCTGAGAAGACTGCAGGCCATTGTGATCATAAAGTGCCCCTTGAGGACATCCTAAGAATGAATCAAATCCCCTTCCAACTCTGTTCTGGAGAGTTAGATTTGAATGAAGCATGAGAGATAAGGCACATTTCCCTTCTTATACCCATCCTTTTATGTTTTACTGACAAGGAGACAGACTCAGAATCCAATGGCTCAAGTCTCCATGGTGGTAGAGTACTTGTCTAATGTGTGTGAGGTCTTGGGTTCCATCCTCAGCACCAGAAAGGAGGAGGAATAAGAGGAGAAAAAAGAAGAAAAGAAAGAGAAGAATGGAAGGCTGGTTACACAGGGAGTTGGTGGCACAAGTCAGGCTGGAATCCACAATTGCAGTCAGATTCCCAGTCAGTCCCTGACACTCATAAAGTATGTTCTAAGCGACACCACATGCCGCACCAGCCCGGCCCCTAGGCGCACTGAGTCAGCAACAGAGACTGCACACGTGTAACCCCTCACCAGGGAGGCTGAAAACAGGAAGATCACTATGAGTCCAAGTTGTGTAGTGTACCAAACACATAAAAACAAACAAACAAAAGTATGTGCTAAGCCCTTGACAAATGTTCTTTCATTTGGTTTCCCTAATGCTATAAGGAAGTCAGTTCTACTATTTATACCCATTTGGCAGATGAGAAAATTGCAGCGTGGCGTTCACAGAGCTAGGGCCGTAGCAGAACTGTACTAGCCCAGTTTGTTGTACAGGCTTGAAGGAGGCTGGAATATTTACCAAGAGCTGAAGGACACTGGTGACAGTTGTTCTGGAAGATAGTGTACTGGAATTGGAGTCTAGGTCCTTGCAAGTCAATATTGATTTTAGTCCCAAACCTTACTTCCAAAGTCCAATTTGCTGGAAAGAGGAAAAGATTCCTTTCCTGGGCTGGAGAGATGGCTCAGTGGTCTAGAGCACCTACTTGGAACAAGCTTGGCAAGGCATCAGGGACCGCGGTTCAATCCCCCAGCACCACATGCCAGCCAGCCCCGCCCCCTGGTGGGCTGA